GCATGAATTTCAATTTCCAAGCTTGTACAGTTGTGCTGTGAAGTAGCTTAAAGCTGCCTGGATCACCCGTCTCGAGACTGGGGAGAACTTCGGCGCACACCTTCCGCCCTGGAACATCTTCTGCCCTCTAAGAAGAGCTTTTCCCACCCAGGGGCAGCCAGGCCTGAGGATAGGAAGCAGGCATGCAGGAGGTTTGGGGGAGGGCGGGTCTTCCTCACACACAGCTTTTAGGAATATGAGAACACATCTAAGCGAGAGGCCTTGCTTCTGCTCCTTGTACGTACGAGTTTGGGGCTGAAGCCTGTGTTTCATTCTCCCCGTTCAAATCCTCTCCAAGCAGTTCACTGAGATCTAAGCGAGGGGCTTTGCTTCTGCTCTTTTGTGTGTGTGAGTTTGGGACTGAAGCCTGTGTTTCATTCTTTTTGTTCAAATCCTCTCCGAGCAGTTCACTGAGATCCCATGGTGCCCAGGTGTCCCCGACGTGCCATGGGGCAGGTGGTCCAGAGAAACAGCTTCTCGTCCTCTTTCCTCTCCGTGTTGGCTGGTCGCAGAGGGAGAGATGACTGATATCTGGGGATATTTCATCAGCTTCTGCAAACAGCCCCAAAGTTCTTTTTCCTGCAGGAATGTTACCTGCTCTGTGCAGGACACTGAGAAGACCCTTGTCACAGGCCTTCCCGAGGGAGCTGAGGGCAGTTTGGCCAATGTCCCAATAGCTGCTGTCCTTCTGTAGTATCTTCCCTTTATCACAAATGGGCGGGCGTAAAATGCATTTGTAAGAGATTTCAGATATGCTGACTTGTTCTGGGAAGTTCCCATGTGGAAGTGTTATTTTTAGGATAAAGTTCTAATTTTTTCCAATATTTCAAAGTTTTTGTTATGGAGACTTTAAACATATAAAAAGGTAAAAATAACAGTATAATGAACCCCTCTGTACCCCATCACCCAGGTTTCCAACAGTTGGCCAATCTGATTCAAACGCTCCTTCTAATACTGCCCCTTCCCACCTCCTGCTGATGTATTTTGCAAGCAAATAGCAATCATCTTAATATTTTGTCTCTGACTACTTCAGTATGTTTCCAAAATATAAGGACCCTTTTATGTGAAACAAAATGTGATATACCATTATCACACTTAAAAACCAATGGCAAAGAATAGAAAAATAGTAGAAAAAAAATCAATGAAACCGAAAGTTGGTTCTTTGGAAAGATCAACAAAATTGATCATTCTGCACCTAGACTGACCAATAATAAAGGAAGACTCAAATAACCAAAATCAGGACCAGGAAAGGTGGCATTTCTGCCACCTTTACCAAAATAAAATAGATTATGAGGGAACTATATGCCAACAAATTAGAAAACTTAGAATAAATAGAAAAATTCATAGAAGGACAGAAACTACCAAAACTGACTCGAGAGAGAGGAAATCTGAATAGATCTAAAACAAGTAAAGAAGTTGAATTGTTAATTTTAAAATTTCACTCAAAGAAAAGCCCAGGACCAGATGGCTTTACTAGTAAATTCTGCCAAACGTTGAAAGAAGAGTTAATACTAATTGCTCACAAACTTTTTCAAAAAATAAAAGTAGGGGGAAACTTCCTAATTCATTCTATGAGGTATTATCATAATAACAAAAGACTAAAACCTCTTAAGAAAACTGTACACCAGTATCTTTTATGAGTGTAGATGCAAAACTCAATACCAGCAACCTGAATTCAGCCACCTACAAAAGGATTATATACCATGATCAAGTGGGATTTATCCCAGGAATACACAGTTGGTTTAACAGGTAATGTTAATGTAATACTCCATATGAATGGATAAAGGACAAAAGCTGCATAATCATCTCAGTATAAGCAGGAAAAACATTGGACAAAATCCAACACCCTTTCATGTGAAAACACTCAACAAACTAGGAACAGAAAGCAACTTCCTGAACCTGACAAAAGGCATCTAATGAAACCCACACCCCGGAGCTTAATGGTGAAGCGGGTGCTTTCCCCCGAGATCAGGAGCAAGACGAGGAGGCCTGCTCTTGCCACTTCTATTTACCATCGTACTGCAAGCAGGACAGTTAGACGAGAAAAGGATAAACGGCATGCAGATTGGACAAGAAGTAAGACTACTCTTTGCAGATGACGTGATCTTTTATACAGAAAATCATAAGGAGTCCTCAAAAAAAATGGTTAGAGTGAATTAACAAGTTAGCAAGGTTGCAGGAAACAAGACCAGTATACAAAAATCAGTTATATTTCTATAAACTAGCAATCAACAATCCAAAGATGAAACTAAGGCCATTTCATTTACAATAGCATCAAAAAACATGATGCTAAGCAGAAGAAGCTAGTCACAAAAGGTCACATATTATATGATTTCATTCATACGAAATGTCCAGAATAGGCAAACCTAGAGACAGAAAGCAGATGAGTGGTTGTCAGGCACTAGGGTGGAAAGAAAGGGAGGATGACTGCTAATTGGTATGGGGTTTTTTGAAGGTGATGAAAATGTTCTCAAATTTTAGTGATCGTTGCAAAACTCTGAATTAAAAACAACTGAATTGTAAACATTAAATAAGTGAATGGTACAGTATGTGAATTCTGTCTCAACAATGCTATTATAAATTTTTTAAATCTATAATCCTTTCTGTTATCACACAACTACTCAGTGGTCAGATCTGCTGATTGTCTCATAAATGATTTTGCACTGTGTTTAAGCAAGGCCTAGGCAAGGTCCACTTCTTGTGATTGGTGAATTTAATATGCCTCTTAAACCTCTTCTAATTTATGAGACCTCAATGTTTGGTTTTTTGGTTTAGTGTTATTTTCCTTTGAATTATTTTTGTCAAAATAAAAAATGGTCATTTTTTTCTGCCAAGTTTCCCACATTTGAGGCTTTGCTGACCTTGTGCCTGGGGTGTGTTTCACATTTCCCTCTATCCCCTGTATCTCCTGTAAACTGGAAACCTTGATCGGATCCAGATTTGATTTTTCTAATTAGTTTTTGTTTCAAATGAATCACAATTAATATGAAAGAGAGTATTCAATCCTTTACCATTTGCCTTGAGTCTGAGGGTGCTAATAAGAATGTGTCTCTTTATGCTTCTGCCCTGTGCTATTGAAGAGCCATAGGGACTTGTTCTTTTGATTTATATTTGATTTCTAGGTTACTTAGGTTTAGAATATCTATTTTGTGCCCTAATCTAGGACCTCATTGGGTCCAAAACCCTGTATCAGTTGTGCCAAAATTAATGCTTTTTATTAATATCTTCATATTAGTTGGGGTTATGTTCAGCAGCAAGCAATAGAAAAGCCCACAGGCAGTGACTAAAACAAGATTGGAAGGTATTTTCCTACTCTATTCAAGAAATCTAGAGCGAGCCAGCCCAGGATAATGTGGGGTGTGTGTGTTCAGTGTCAGGGACACAGACACCTCTTGTCTTTTCGTTCTTCCCCTGTGCATGGCTTCATGCCAAAGGTGATATATTCCAACCAGTTAGAACAGTGCCTGGCACAGAGTTGATGCTTAATAATTATTTGTTGAATGAATGAGTGAATGATTGGTCAGTGGCTGCTGGAGCTCTAGCCATTACATCTGTATTCCAGCCAGGAGGAAGGAGGGAAAGGAAATTAGGGACAGGCCCCCTTCCCTTTCAGGAGACTTCCTAGCATTTCCTAACATTATTTCTGCTTAGCTGACCACATCAAACTGAAAAGGAATTGTAAGATAGGCTTTGCCTGAGCACCCACGTTCCTGGCTGAAAAGCAGAAAGAAGAGGGCCCAGGTAATGCTGGCGGCCTCTGCATACTGTGGGGGGCCCAAATGCTGGGGAGCAGGAGCCCATCTCTGCTTCTGCCTGGAACGGTCGGAGGATGAACCGGCCAGATCATCACCCCTAGCCTGGCAGGCTTTGCGCTCCATCTGAGCACAAAACAAATGTATTTTTAAAGATAGTTTGTTACATTTTCAGGTAATAAAATCAGTAGTTTTTCTTAACCTTCAGAAACCTTTTCAGGGGAAATGCCTCGAAATGTAAAGGGTGGGATCTAACTGTGCATCTGAACGAAGTTTAACCCATGCTCTGTCTTCCCCGTGTTTCCCGCCGTTTGGAGGCCTCGTAGATCTCTACTTGCAGATCTCACAGGTGGCGTGCGAGCCTGGTGGTTTTTCCTCCTCAAATGGATCCAGCACCAGTGCCAGAAACCTAAATCGCCTGGGCCTCTCTAAGCCTGAGAAATTGTTTTGTTATGATTTATACTAGAGTGATTGAATAACATCTTTCTAAGTACAGACTAATTCCTTATTTTAAAGGAAGTTTGCTTAGACTATTTCTTAAAGAAAATGAAATTTTACCATTAGAGAATTTCAACAATTATTTTCATACCATTAATTATCTTCAAAAGGGGTTCTACATAGAGCCCTATAGAAATAATGATTAGGAAATGGTACATTTATTCTAGTGCCCAAGAAACTGCCTTCATTTCTTCACTTTTCACTTGGTAACAGGAGATAATTCGGAAATGATTTTGAGGTTTGGTGCTCTCAGCGCAGTCCTTCCACATCCCTACCCCCTAGCGGCAGGTGCGCATTCTGGGCTTCCACACTCTCCTTCCGTAGGGAGGGTTTTCTTCCTGCAGAAGCAATCGGCTGGCCTAGGGAGGGCAGGTGTTCCTCACATGTTAAACGGAAAGATGGTTCTGTGCCTTTTCATTTCAAAACCGTTGAAACAATTTCACAGCCATTAAGAAAAGTTAATGGATATTTTTACATTTGGTTACACCTCTGTCTTAGCCCTTTCTTCAAGAGAGGATTTGATTTTCACATTCTATTATCTGAGAGTCTGGAGTGTTGAGACCAACCATTACTCTGTTTAAATCAGTTGTCTTATGTCCTCTTGGTAGCTTTTTTGGGACAATAGTAAGTATCCTTGCTACAGTAAAGCCAGGTTTAATTTCTAGCTGTTGAATCAGTATTGCTCTAATGAAACTTTTTTTTTCCCCCCAGCACTCAAAAGGCTCTGAGAATGGTACAAACAGATTGAGACTCCAGAAGCAAATCTTGAAGACCGAAAAGAACAGGCCTCTGGTAAGTCACACACACTTCCTAGAATGTCGGAGCTGCAGGAAAACTCCTTTGAGCCTCGTCAGCTCTCTCTGTCCCTCTGCCTATGTGACGTGTGTCACAAACATCCAGGTCTTAAAAAAATTAGGTCTCATTGAATTTCTTCAGTAAAATTTGAGTTTGCTCTTATTGGCTTTCTTTGGATTTTACACTTAACCAATTCATTCATTCAGCAGCTCCGCAGCTTTCAATGTCCCAGGCACTATTCCAGGTGTGGGGGGTGGTGCTGGTGCAGACGGAAAGCAAGCAGAGACATCCCCCAAGCGGTGCCAAGTACAAGGAAGACAGGCTGAGCAGGCTGTATTTTCAGCGGGCCTTGGGGTAGGCTTCCCTAGGCAGACAGTGTTGGAACAGAGCTGTGAGAGACTGGAGGGAGAGTCTGCAGGTGCCTGAGCACAGAGGGTGTCAGGGTGAGGGGCGCATGGTGGGTTGGCCACATGAGGTGCACACAGAAAACTGACATCATGGGACCAAGAAAAGGTAAAGGAGAAGCAGGTAACAGAAAGAGGCATCTCCCCTTCCCCCATGTCACAGATGAGGAATTCGGGACACAGAAATGCTAAGTTAATCTGCCTTGTCATCTGCAGTGGGGAGCCCTCAGTGCAGGCTCTGCCACCCCTGGCACCTGAGCCTCCTGTCCCCTACCCTTCCCATCCTCGATCCTCGTAGAAGCTCCTCCCATTGCTGCTGCTTAGCTGACCACACCAAGACACAGCAGGCATTTTAAATTTGAGTTTAATCATTGAAGTTATAAGCTGTTCTCTTTCTAAATCAGGGTTTTTGTTTTGTTTTGGTTTGGTTTGGTTTGGTTTTTTGTTTTGTTTTGAGACAAGGTCTCACTCTGTCACCCAGTCTGGAGTGCAGTGGCACGATCTCAGCTCACTGCAACCTCCGCCTCCTGGGTTCAAGCGATTCTCCTGCCTCAGCCTCCCGAGTAGCTGGGATTACAGGCACCCACCACTACCTCTGGCTGAATTTTATATTTTTTAGTAGAGACAGGGTTTCACCATGTTAGCCAGGCTGGTCTTGAACTCCTGACCTCAGGTGATCCACCCACCTCGGCCTCCCAAAGTGCTGGGATTACAGGCGTGAGCCACCACGCCCGGCCTCTAAATCAGGTTTAACCTTCTACAGACACAGGGCCTCCTCTGGGAGAGGGCCCCCTCCGGCATGTGTGAGGGGCTGCTCTCCCTACCTTTTAAATCAAATGGCTTAAAGGATTAATGTACTAAACATGCGTCTCACTTTTTTATTGACTGGGGAAATTTATTTGTGGTGGCTGAAATATTAGAAAAGGGAAAAATGATGTCTCATGCATCTGGGTTCTTGGATTTTAAGGAGATCGCAGGCAGTGACTAATTTAACCAAAATGCTTTAAAATCTGTACTACTGAATTCACATTTAAACAAATCATGTCCCAATCAGTGTCCAAAAGACTGTGGCCCCTCTCTGATGATACTGAAGCCGGCCACCTACTCTGAATCAAGACCACAGGCCCTTTCTTCTGGTGCAGTAACTGACCCATAAAACTAGCCCTGGCTTCTGAGTATAGCTTCTCTCTTTCCTTTTCCGGCCCTTCTAAGAAAGGCTGTTTACGAACTTGCTGTCAAGGAGCCAGTTACATAAGTAAAGGCACTGGCAGGCCTTGTTTCAGGCTGAGGGTGATGCTTCAGATGACCACGACCGGGCGTGTGCTGGCCGCGCTTGCGTGGCGCCCCCTTTCGGCAGGCCTGCCGTTGCATTTGGGTCAGGGTCAGCTGGGAGAGTGCCCCGCGAGTTTGGTTGGACACCCTGGATGTCCCCTTTCCCAGAGTGACCACTGGGCCCCTGACCTCCACTCCTTTTCAGACAACTGCTAAATTATGTCACATGGCAGGCACTTTCTCCGTGGCCTCGTGAAGAGACGTGTAAAGAAAGCTGCAGGGTGGGGAGCAAATGTGGGAAAGAGAATGAGGCTCTGCTGTCACTTGGCCACATGGCGAGCCCACAGGTCCCCGTGGGCATTTTAGAGGATTGTTTTGGGGACAGTCGCACTTGCCGTCCCTGTAGTCACTTGTCACTTTTCCTCCTTGACGTCTCTGAGGATCCTTCTGATTGACTGTGGCTCAAGAACTGTTGGGCCCACCAAACACAGCATGAGCGCGGAGTGGGTATTTGGAGGTTGAATGTGACTCCGCCGTGCACTTTGCACGCCAAGTGGGGACTCCACAAATCTCTCTGCGATGGCCTTTCCTAAGGGAAGCTGCAGACAGCATCGGGTAGTGGGGTGAGCTTAGCATTTTTGGATAGAGCGGTCATTATTACACAGTCCCCCCACGTGCATCTGTGTGGATTTTTGTTGTGCGTGTGTGTGCGTGTGTGTGTGTGTGTTTTAGTAGAGGGAGCCCTTTTCTCTTTGAAAGTGTAAGCCCTAAGCGTGGAGTGCACTGGCCACAGAAGCCCCCACACCTGCCGGGGGCTCCACAGATCCCATCTGGGGCTCTTGGGACACAGACTGGAAACTGCTTGTTTAGAGGCACAGGTGCCTCTTGGCCTCCAGCCTTGTCTTGGTCCACCGGTGGCTTCTTGTTTGCTATGTAAGGAGGAGGCAGCAGCAGCCCCCCTGTTTGTTTTGGAAAACCAGCCATGGCCCCACACTTTCTTTCCCATCTCCTCCAGAAGCAAACAACTGGGGCGTGGTGGCTTCAAGTCCTGTTTAAGATGAGTGGGTGTGAGCACAGGGCCTGTTCCCAGCAGAAACAGAGCCTTCTGTCTGTCTAGGGGGCTCCTTGCTGCTTAGATAAGGAGCAGAGGGTCTGTGTCTGTGGCTTTAAACCAGCCCAGCAAGTGGACCCTGGAGCACTTCACAAATCCTGCAAGGGCCGTGGGTGGCCCTTGGGCATCTGGGTCCTACCTGAGGCCAGGTAGATCTTCTGTGTCGACCTGCAGTCACTTCTCAGTGGGTCAGAGGGTGCGCTTCTCCTGCCTAAGCGGCCTCTTTCCACTTGACTTTTCTCCAGCTGGTTGCATTTCACCCACTGCTTAGCCTGTTTCCTACAGAACAGCCTGCGAAGTCCTGTAGCCCTCAACTTACTATGAGTGGAACTCGCCTGGGGCTGCCCCAGGGGCTGCTTCAGCTGGGCTGGGGGAATTCGGGGCTTCTCAAAGCCCCCCACAGAAGATTCCAGTGTTTAGCCACAGTAGAGCATTACTGATTCAGTTTCCTAAACTGGACGATTAGCAGAACTCATGAGAGAAAAGTTTATTCTGAAACTCAGTCGCCATTCTTTGTTTCCACATGCCGTGATGGAATTATCATCGGAAGCATGTTAGGCATTTGCACTCAGGCTTGTCATCTTCATTCCAGAGCACCTGACTATGTGGCCACATGTGAGTATCTTCATCAGAGACCCGCTCTCCATGCCAGAGTCCTAGCCGTGAAGCCGGGCTTCCTGGGGGACGTAGATACTCAGCTGCCCCCGAGGCCACCCGCTGGGTGCCCACATTGGGCTGCACTCAGTCCCACCTGCCACCCGGTTTCCAAATTTCTTTTTTCCACTGGAAGAAAATTATAAATATCAAGGGACAGGGGAATGTGGAATACATTACCATTTTCTTTCTTTTTTTTTTTTAATTAAACTACATTTTTAGTCCAACTTAAAACAGGTTATAGTGAGATAAGTACCACAAGGCTGTTTGATTTTGTGAAAGGTCTGAGATACATAGAAGCATTTCTTTGTAAGACCTTGAACCTCATAGTTCATTCATGAAGAACATTTTTATTTTATTTTCATTCTTTTTTGACACAGGGTCTTGCCTAGGCTGAAGTACAGCCCCACAATCACAGCTTACTGCAGCCTCAACCTCCTGGGCTCAAGTGATCCTCCTGCCTCAGCCTCCAGAGCAGTTAGGACTATAAGCACATACCACCACATTCCACTATTTTTTTTTCCCGAGAGATGAGGTCTTATGTGTGGCCCAGGCTAACATTATTTTTATGTTATCCTTGCTCTGACTTGAAATCCCACTGTTGGTTGGAGATCACTCTTCTTTGCTTTAATGAATGTACACTTTGTCCTTTAGGAACATCTAGACGATCAGAATTCATAAATATCAGAATAGGTATATTTTAAAATAATGTTGGTGTATTTTAAAATAATGTTTCTGGTCATATATGGCCATTGTGAGCTCCTAAAAAATACACGATCATGTAAAGAATTTCTTATTAGCATTTTGATAAAAATTACACATAATTCTACCACTCAGTGACAAGCATTGTTGGCTTAGATTTTAGCTGCTTTCTTTCTAGAAATAGATCCTATAGTTGCCTAGTTATATATGTAGATATTTAAACATTATTTGAGGTTATAATGACATGCAGTTTTGAATGATGTGTTATTTAATGTGTCATAAGCATTTTCCTGTCATTGAAATCTCCCAACCTTTTTTTTTGCAAGATGTCATTTGTATGGATGTATTTGAATTTTCTAATTTTTCTCGATGTGACATCCATTTTACTTTATACGTATTTTTTTACTTTTCAAATTATTTTTTGCAAATAGATTCCTAGAATTTCTGGTTCCAAGGATGTGTGTACCTAGCTGTTCATGAAAATGCATGAATGCTAATCATTGTAACGCAGTGGCCACGTGGGAATGTCACCCAGGATGTCTCCAAGGCAGTGGAAGAGAGAGCCGCCAGGCACCCTCGTCATTAGGAAGCCTGGCCCCACTTCACCCAGACTGCCCAGCTGGTAACACCTTTCCCTTTTGTTCCCAATGGATCTGCCTCCAGGACCCCGAGATGCAGTGCCTGCTGCTCTCAGATGGGAAGGGCTCCATCCACCCGAACCACGTCGTCATTCTCCCCGGGGACAGCGGGAGTGGCACAGCCGCCATCAGCTTCACAGGAGCCTTGAAAATTCCAGTAAGTAAACATGCCCAGGAGGAGTTTCAGAAGTTTCAGAAAGGGCTGCTGCGCTGGCTGTGGGAAGTCTGGTCAGTTGATGATTAAGCTTACAAAGAGATCTGTGGTTATAGAACCCGGGGATTCGAATCCGTAGCCGAAGCCGGACGCTGCACACTGGTAGCTTCAGGACTGAATATGTCTGCAGTGATACTTGGTTTGCCTCATACCATGTTGAAATTTTTTTTGAAATTCGTTTTCTTCATTTAGAAATTCAGAAGGTTCGTAGAAAAATGGGGCTCCCTGCCTTCACTGGAAAAATGGAAAGCCTGGCGCCCTGGGCCTGCCCCCACGTGACAGGTTGGGGAACTGAGGCCCTGACTACTGTGCCACCTGGCCCCTGTGGCCCTGCCCCTCCCTCCCCAGTACACTTGCCCTCCCACAGGCCTTGAGCGTGAGCCCATGGGAGGCACTGTCACTGAGTGCCGTGGCCTTCACAAGCCTGGCTGGATTCTCTTTCCCTTTCAAGTGCCTTTGGGCCGGGCACGGTGGCTCACGCCTGTCATCCCAGCACTTCGGGAGGCCGAGGCAGGCGGATCACCTGAGGTCGGGAATTCAAAACCAGGCTGGTCAACATGGCAAAACCCCGTATCTACTAAAAACACAAAAATTAGCCAGGCATGGTGACAGGCGCCTGTAATCCCAGCTACTTGGGAGGCTGAGACAAGAGAATCGCTTGAACCCAGGAGGCGGAGGTTGTGGTGAGCCAAGATCACACCACTGCACTCCAGCCTGGGCGACAGAGTAAGACCCTGTCTCAAAAAAAAAAAAAAAAAAGTGCCTTCAGTGCCTGATTGCCCGTGCGTGGTGAGCAGAGGATGCCAAGAGTGAGAGGGAGGATGCAGGGACCAAGGGAAGAACAAGCAGCACAGGCGAGAGAAACCTTGGAGTCAGAATCTGGACCGGGCTGGTCCTCGCTGGCACTGCTGGCCTTGCCTCCAGACTAGAAGGGCGCCACCGTGCCCCGCAGTGGGTGATCAGTCTTGAGGACGAGCTGATTTGGAGCAGATGAGCGGGACGGGCACTGTAAGGAGATTTCTTGCTGCTTTTTCAGTTTTTATTACATTCATGGACTCCCTCAGCAGAGAATCTAAGGAGCCGTGCGCAGGGTGTGGAGAGGCTGTGTTCTTCCGATGGGGGCAGAGAGCTGAGAGCAGGGGCACGGGAGGGAGACCAGACCCTGCCATGTGGGCTGGGCAGGCTGTCTGGGGGGGACTGTCCAGGCCGTGCCCTCCAGCACTGATAGCCAGAGCACTACGGAGCAGACACAGCTCTCACTTGCTGACACGACCTAGAGAAAGGCAGAGGGTCAGGGGCACAGGCCTGAGGTCCCTCAGCAGGTCAGGGCTGGAAGCACAAGCAGTGCAATCCAGACCTTAAAATCATATCACAGAAATTAAAGACTGGGGAGAACCTGGACTTCAGAACAGAAAGGATTCCAGTGCCCAGGAGAAACTGGGCCTGCAGAGGCAGACCCTGGGCCGGTGTTCAGCCAGAGGAGAACGTCCCAGCCCAGGCTGGACACCAGTTCATGGGGAAAGGGCTGTGCATGCCGGCCTGTGGAAGCTGCTAGGTTTAAGTCAAAAGATTTGTTTTTAATTGTGTCCTTAATAACAACTAGTGACCTTTTCTGCTATACCCTCCTCTGTAGCTACCCCCAAATACTTGTACTAAAGTAGGGTGCACACTAGTTATAAAAATACAGGTTTTTATATAGTGGAGCTATAGACAGTATGGGCTTCAGAGGCCCGACTCAAGCCTCCCCCTGCCACCGCCAAGCTGAGTGTTCCGGGCAAGTGTGGCACACTCTGAGCCTCCATGTCCTCATCTGTCACATGGGCTCATCCCTGGGGTAATACCGTACGTTGTTCTGAGGATGAAGTGAGGTCATTTAACAACTGCTAAGCACAATGCCAGACCCGTGAAAGGCATACGGTAAATTACACGCACACATCCTCATCAATTGTGAAGACGTCAACTCGTTTCATTTTAGAATGACTTGGCGAAGTGGAGCGCTGGGTTCCCCCGGCCCCCGTTTTGGTTGATTTTCAGTGCACAGACAGCCGGGGGATTCAGCACCACAGTGTTACTGGATTTCTCACTCTGAATTTTCAGATGGCCTCTGGAATTTTTATCTCACAAGTGCCACCTCTTTCTGAAAGTAGACATAAAACAAACACAAACAGGCATTTTACAGAACCCACCACTCGATTTCCTCACTCGTACCTACGTGTCTCTTTTCGTTGTTTTCCCTGGTGCGGACTGGTTTGTAGTACTCACAGGCGGGATGCAGTAGCCTGTATGCCTGTGTGCGGACAGAATGGTCGGAATTGTTTGATCTGTGTGTTTCCAGATGGCTTTATAATTTACAGTGATTTCAGTTCCAGGGAAGAAGAAGGAGCCGTTCAGTACTCAGTCCACTGCACCCGGCTATACAAGAACTTCTTTAGTAGCTAAGTTTTCCAGCCGATGTCCTATGAAAATCAAACCCGCACATGTTTTCATTGACTCTACTCTGATGTAAAGACACTGGGTTTTGATCCTAAAAGGTAGTCTCCATTGGCTGGGCGCGGTGGCTCAAGCCTGTAATCCCAGCACTTTGGGAGGCTGAGACGGGCGGATCACGAGGTTAGGAGATCGAGACCATCCTGGCTAACACGGTGAAACCCCGTCTCTACTAAAAAATACAAAAAACTAGCCGGGCGAGGTGGCGGGCGCCTGTAGTCCCAGCCACTCAGGAGGCTGAGGCAGGAGAATGGCGTAAACCCAGGAGGCGGAGCTTGCAGTGAGCTGAGATCCGGCCACTGCACTCCAGCCCAGGCAACAGAGCAAGACTCCGTCTCAAAAAAAAAAAAAAAGGTAGTCTCCATTTCAAAATTCAGAAATTTCATAGATAAAGAAAATCTGGCCACACTGGGCCTGCACCCCATGTGACAGTAGAGTAGCTGCAGCTGTGGCCCCGCCCCTGTCAGGGGTCCTGCCCCTCCCTGGTGCACCTGCTGGGGTGAGTGCCCCACAGTTCCCGCATCCTCACTGCACCACACAGCAGTGCAGCACCCTCCCCACTACGTGTCTGGAGGTGCTAAAGCCAGACCAAAGACAGGATGTCTTTATGGGAGCAAAGTCATATTTAACTCTGTTGCATATTTACACACACCTGCTGGCTCCACATTTGGAGAAGACGCCCGACCGCTCTCTCTTTCAGGGCGTGATAGAGTTCTCGCTGTGTCTGCTGTTCGCCAAGCTGGTCAGCTACACTTTCCTCTTCTGGCTGCCCCTGTACATCACGAATGTGGGTGAGTATCCGCTGCTAGAACACATTAAGTTCCGCACACTGACTGGGATCTGAACTCTCTTCTATCTGCTGGTTTCTAGAGTCTTGGAAACACAAGGTCACGAAGGGTGATTTGAGAGGCACACTTTTGAATCAAGTACTATGATGAAACATAGGCTAAAAAGAATTCAGATATGCAAACTGTATTGCCATAATGGTAACCTTTATGGGGCTTAACGGTTGACACGTTCTATCCCAGCTAGGGCTACCAGTTCGTGAGGTACTTCCTGCTCTGGGGCCGCCTGCGTTTAAATGTGGGCTACACTGAACTTTGGATCATAGCAGCCACTGAGCAGAAGCAAGGCCTCTACGGACCTGAGAGAAGAAATCCCTGATACTCTGACCTGGAAATGGCTTCTGGGAGATAACTTCTCATTTTTGGCAGGGCCAACAGTTTGCTTTACGTTTCGGAAGCCCCGTGGTGGCTGCAGCTCTAGATTATGAGAAAACGTGCCAGTGAAATAGTAACATGCTTCCCCGTGTCATGTGTGACCACAGGACAGATGAGGGGATGAAGAGTGCTTAAGGGAAGGGGCTGTTGAGTGGGGAAACCAGAACCCTGGCTGAGAGGAAGTGGGGATGGGCCAGGAGCACGTGGAGGGCTCTTCGCCCAGGGAGCCAGAGAGAGTGAGAGGAAGGAGAAGACAAGAAGACACCAGGCCGTCAGGAAGGGGCAGGATCCAGCGATGTCTCAAAGAGGAGGCCTTTGAGAATGGGGGAGGCCGAGGAGCGCAGACCACCTTTTCTGGGGATGCAGATCCCACCAGCGGAGAATGCTGGCAGCACGAGGCTGGAGGCTGAATACCCCAGGAGGGAAGTTGAGGAGGTGGTGTGGGGACTGTCCCACAGCCTAGCAGGGACAGGGCCTGCCCAAGGACCAGTGAGTGGGGAGGCAGCAAGGAGCGCCCTCGGATCCTGAGGTTCTTTCCCTGCCTCGTGACCCCCGCCTCACTTCGGCCGGTGAGCTGCACACAGCCTGGGCCTTCTTTCTCCCTTCTTCCCCTGTGGTTGCAAAAGGGGCGACATTCTCAGGACTTGAGTCTTGAACTGCTGGCATTTCCAGTTTGTTTGAAAAAAGCAGTTTCCTGTCCGTGCCATTGATGATTCGGAAAGGCCGGGTTTGACCCGCAGCCCCAGATGCCACCCAGTCTCCTTTCTCATGCACGGCTGGCTCAGTCCACCTTAAAGCCCAGAACTTGTACAAAATCTAGTGGAGGGCACCCTGAGCTGGTGCTGGGAGGCCTCTGTGTCCTCATCTGCAGCTCTAAAGTCATGTGGTCAGACAGCACATGTGACAGGACGCTCGAGCATCCAGGCTCCTTCCACACCCCCACTTCTGTCCTGTGTTAATCTGGCTTCATGGCGGAGGGGCCCCTGGGGGGCCTCTGAACCAAAGGTGGGATACTTAGACTGAGCAGAGGAAAGCCACGGTTTTTGGTTAAGAGTATTTTCATCCTTTCTATGTTACTTGTTTTTTAAATCTGAGTTAACTGCTAATTGCTCCTTGATGTCAATCAAGCTTATGGAACCGGAGTCTCGTGCATGGATCCTGTTCTGCCATGGTGTGTCACTGTGATGCATGAAAGAGATCCTCATTGTCACACTCCGTTGTCATTTTAATAGATCACCTTGATGCCAAGAAAGCTGGGGAGCTCTCCACCCTGTTTGACGTGGGCGGAATCTTTGGTGAGTTCATTAAGACCTGTTCTGCTGCAGCAATAATTTCACAAGGCACATGATCCCTGAGCTGATTCGCTGCTCAGAGGGAGCAGGGTTCCCCAAGGTCTCGTATCCCCTGAGCGGACCCAGCCCAGGAGGGTCAGGCCGTCACCTGGGGGTGGTCTTATGGTCTCCCCTCCCTCCCCAGGGCCCTGACTCTGCACTTGAACAGCTTCCCTCAGAAACAGCATGCCAGCTGGGCTCAGGGGCTCATGCCTGTTATCCCAGCACTGTGGGATGCCGAGTTGGGAGGATCGCTTGAGCTCTTCTTGTTATGAAGACCAACCTGGGCAACATAACAAGACCCCTCTCTACAAAAAGTAATAATAACTGGGCGTGGTGGCTCGAGCCTATGGTTCCAGCCTTGGGAGGCTGGGATGGGAGAATGGCTTGAGCCTAGGAGGTTGAGGCTGCAGTGAGCCGTGATCATGCCATTGCACTCCAGCCTGGGTGACAGAGTGAGACCCCATCTCAAAACTAAAACAAAAAAAAAAGCAGCAGCATGCCTCCTGGGCAGGTGACAGACTGGCCACCTTAGTACCTTGATAGGTAAAGGGGCTTCAAGACTGGTCTAAAAGCTGAACTCACAGATGTCTCCAAGACTCTCACATCTGACCACAACCAATGGAGGCCTATGGGGAGATCAGGCCTGTGAGAAGCCTGCCTGCCCGTGATGCATGGAGAGAGAGGCTTGGGAAAGGAGGAGGCCGTTCTCCGGGCTCCTGCAGTTCTGCTTCCTCCCCGTGGGCTCATGCCCTGGGACGTCAGCGCCTGAAGCCCGCCTCTCCGTTGCAGGTGGGATCCTGGCAGGTGTGATCTCAGACCGACTGGAGAAAAGAGCCTCCACCTGCGGCCTGATGCTGCTGCTTGCAGCCCCCACGGTCAGCCCTGCTGCCTTCCCTGGGCCCCAAAGCCTGCAGACAGTTCTCCACTGTCCTCCCCACCAGCCAGCATCCTCTCCTATCTGTCCCATGCTCCACTTTCCTGACAAGCCCACTTCATTCCCTCTCGTGCCTCCTGTCCCCTGACCCCTCCCTCTGCACCTGCGGGCCTCCACCAGGCTCTCTCCCCCACATGCACAGCTGCTGCTGGTTCAGCATGGGCTGTGCGCAAGCTGCTCCTCGCTTTGGGGTGCCCCCTTGCCCCAGACAAGCTCCTGCCCATCCTTGGGGGTCCGCGATACCTCCACCACCTCTTAGGCATTGTTGACCCCTCTCATTGTGACACATGGTGCATAGTACTTTTCAAGCATTTCGTAGCTCCTGACCTTGGGCGGTGACATCCCCCTCTGTGCCCCAGTTCCCTGATCTGGAAAATGGGATGTCAGTAGCACCGTCTTGACGTGGGTTAGAAACAATGCACATCCTTACTGTTTTTATCATCGTAACATTAGAGGTAACAGGCTTGTCAGTGGACGCTGTAGCTCTGCACGTCTGCCTCTCCAGTAGCCCCAGAACAAGGGCTGACTTTCAGCCATCTTGGGGCCCTGGATATGGCCCAACACAGACCCTGAAAGAATGCTGAGTGAAGAAATGCCTGGGTGGGCCCCTTGCTGCCATCGGGGGTGGGAAGCCTAAGGACTTGGCAGTCAGACTCTCAAATCAAATCAGGAGCTCCGGAAGGCTGCCCTTGGCTGGGGATGTAGAGTGGGAGCACCCTGCAGATTTCCCCAGGTCGCCCAAAGTGCTTGGTCCAAAGCCCTCGTGGTGGGGACAAGGCCCAATGCCTGAGACGGGAGGGGGCGTGGCGTCACTCTTTTTCAGGGGTTTCCACCCTTGGGATGGCTGCCTGAGAATCACCCGCCGGGCTTTTGAGAAGTAGGTTTCCAGCCATCTCGTGCTGCCTGCAGCCAGCCATAGCTTTGACCTTGTGTCTTGATGTCCACAGCTGTACATCTTCTCCACCATCAGCAAGATGGGGCTCGAGGCCACCATCGGTGAGTATGGAGGCCTTCCTGCTTTTCTTTCACATACGTTTTTAAAGTTCACACAACTGGCAAGATGAAATATTAACATCAACAGGTGCATTGAGTTGGTTTAACCGGAGCACATGGTGTGGCTAAAATTGTCCCGTGTCCTCCTTTGGGTGAAGCCATCTGGAGAGGCCAGGGTCTCCTCTCCCCAGTGCAAGGCTTGCCAGTCTGCGGGTTTCAGTGTGAGCCAGGAGAGTGCGAGCCTGGTCTGGGGCAGTGGCCCTGGGCGCTCAGTGGAGAAGCCAGAGGTGACCTTGAGGTCAGCCCCTCCTGAGGGCTCGGCGGGGCTGCAGCAGCCTGCGACCTGCAACCTGCACCCCTGGTGGTGAGAGCAACCCAGTCTAGCCCTTGGGCCGCGTCAGGTAGCCAGGAACCTGGCAGTGTGACCTGAGCAGGGTCCGGCCAGGAGCCTTAGCAAGTGGCCCCCCCAGCCACCTCCTCCCAGCTTTGCCAGCTGCCCTCCAGGAGTGGTTGCATAACCTTGGAGGACTATCTTGAACACCCTGTAGGCCATGCTATCAAATTATGCCTCCAGCACTTAAAAGTATGCTTTCTGTCCTAACGAGCCAGCAGTGGGGATGTGTGTGGTCCCCTTACACATTATCCAAAAGGCACCTTGCCCCCAGGAGAGGAAGCGGAGTTTCCTGTGACCCCTCAGGCCAGAAGCTTCCTGACCTGAGTGTGAGCCTAGAGGAGAGTTTAGGAAGTGACGTGGTCCAGGGAGAGGGTGGGAGTCTGCCCTCAGCGAGCACCACAGCAGCTGTGGGTCAAGAGAGGCAGGCCTTTCTGCCGAAGATGAAGCAGGGGCCAGCCCAGGCCCGGGGTCAGGCCCAGGGTCCGGCCTGTGCTCGCTCCCTCGTGGCGGCAGCTGCTGCCCTTCAAAGGTGAATGAGCCTGAGTCCTAGGGAGGGTACAATATGCTTTAGCGCCTTACTAGACAAGTTTAGAGGAAGCTGTTTCTGCTGCACCCCCTCCCTGTGCTCCGCAGGCGCCCACCTCGGGCTGCTCCCATGCATGTGGGGCTCTCCAGAGGACGCACTTCCATTCTCTGCCCCTCTGCCTCCCACAGCCATGCTGCTGCTCAGCGGAGCCCTGGTCAGTGGGCCCTACGCGCTCATCACCACCGCCGTCTCTGCCGACCTGGTGAGTAGAGCTGGGAGAGACGCTGGCCCTGTGGGCACCCCATTTGCCATTCATGACAAAAGTGGCCTCCATTACCGTTAGTAAAACCGTATTTGCAGAAGCACGTTTTTGGCAGCTCACCTACATCTGTGGTCTCCAGCCTTCCTGCACCTGCCCCCCTCCTCACGCTTCTAGAATCACGGGCAGGTTGGCGCGAAACTCACCGCCCAGCACAACAAAAGGCTCTTGGGTGCCATCCTCATGACTCAGGCGCCTTTTCACTCCAAGGGGACAGGGGAGGGGTCCTGTCCTGGAGACCTCTGCAGAGAGAGAGGGGCTGGGCCGGGAAGAGGCGCTGGGGGATTCGGCCCTCCTTATCCAGGTACCACACCCTGCCGTGGTCACCTTTGTGTTGGGCGTGTCTTGAAACTGCCTGAGTGTGCATGAACATGCAGGCTTGTGTCTGCATGGGCATGGAAAGTTCTGGAAGGATCCACATCAGACCATTAGCAGTGGTCAGCCTTCATGGGATAGAGGCAGAGGAGAGACTTTCACTTATTTTTAGACTTCCGAATACACAGGTTCTGGATGATTTTCATATTGTGTGTTGTTCTTTATTTTATATACGTATTACATGCATATACAAGCATTTATTTTTTTGAACGCTGGTTCATTTTTATAGTTTTAGGCTTTCAGGCATTGTTTCCCCTGATCTTTTCCCCCTCCTATTGTCCTCAATTTGTGCTTTTTGCCCGTTATCTATGCAACATTTTCAAAACCGGAGCTCCTGGCGGCTGCTCACCGAGGACCCGTGCCGGCCTTGGTTTCTCGGCTGTCCCCTCCTCCCTTCTTCCCCTGGCGTTTGCTATCAATCAGGTTGAATTTCAGGTCCTGCAGAGACATCTGACAGGGGTCCCAGGAAGGCCCTGGCTGTTGAGGAATCCAGCAGACATGTGGACGTGGCTGGGAAGGAAGGCGGGTGCTGGGAAGGAAGGCCGGTGCAGCTCAGGGCAGGGGCGCGTGTCACGCATCTTCACACCTCACGCTGGCTGCTCTGGGGCCTCAGGGAGGAGCAGGACTGTGCTGAACAAATGTTTTTTTATTTGAAGAGAATCCTAAGGTTCTTGTAACTAGAACGAAACATTTCTGATGATTTTTGACTCTTAAAAACCCTTGAAGTTTTAACTCTCCAAGGCAAACTTGGGGTGGAGTTTAAATAATGGGAAATACCTCACACTGAGTTGTTCTGCAGAGCAGTTCAAGTAAATGGTCATACAGAGGCTTAGGTTTACTTCTCATGCTACGGAGACAAGCTCCACATCTGTTTTTCCTCTCTTCTAGGGGACTCATAAAAGTCTGAAAGGCAACGCACACGCCCTGTCCACCGTGACCGCCATCATCGACGGGACCGGCTCTGTAGGTGCGCAGAGAGTTTTGGCTCTGAGAGGTTTGGTGTCTTAGTGGAAATCACACTGTCACATGCTCGTGAACAGGTACCCAGGGTTCCAACTGCACCACTAACATCGGGTGGGCCGGCTTCTTACAGCACGAGCAGATAGCAGGGGACACGGCGCAGGGGACACGGCGCAGAGATGGTCGTGCGTGCCTGGGTGGCTTCAGGGAGATGCGCGTGCGACTCGCTGTGTGTGTCCAGGTTTTCACCCGAGGCAGTGGTTGGCAGACTACAGCCCGTGGGCTAACTCAGGTCCACTCATTATTTATTGCCTTCATCTCAAGAAAGGCAGAGTCTTATTAAATTACAGAAAAACTAATTGGTCCAAAAGCATACAGGGTTCTGAGTGTTACCAGCATCATCGAAGCTCTTGAAGAGAATTCAGTGGCATATTCTGGAATTTAAAAAGGTGGCAGAAAAAGCAACCCATTCCCTTAGGGAGCAGGCAGGTGGGAACTGGCAGAGTGCCAGTCTCCTCGCCCATGTGCAGCCTGACAGCACGGCCATGGCCTTCCCTGAGCCCTTGTACGGGCAGCACACGCAGTGGCTGTGCTGTCGGGTGAAGATCAGGAGCTGCCACACCTGCCAGGTGAAGATCAGGAGGGTCCTTCCTACATGTGGGAGGTGACGGGGGGCTGCCAGGTGTGGCTCTCACAGCTAATGACCTGGGGTGCCAACCTGGTGAGTCACTTGCTGCGTGGGGTTCTCAAAGCAGTAAAGCCCAGTGTTTGCTAGACGAAGGTGGCTCGCTAAACCCAAGTCAGCCAGAACCTGGCGCTGGAGCCTTCCCGCGGGCTCGTGCAGGGAGCCAATGTTGCTCTTGGCTGCCCGTGGCCTTGGCGTCAGCAGGCTGGAAACCACAGCACGTTTCTGGGTGTCCACTGCTGTCTCAGTGATGGCAGAAGGCAAAGCCCTCCCACCGCATGGCCTCCCTGCTGCTCCTCCGTGAAGCCAGGCTGGCCCCTGTGCGGGCTCTTTGCTCTGGCCATGCCCTGTGTCTGGGAAGGTCCCCAGAGGTGACCTCGTGCCACACTCCCTCATGCCTTGAGTCTTTGCTCAGATGTCATCCTGTCAGCGAGACCTCCTGGGACCACCCTGCTGAGAACACGGGAACCCTTCTGGCCCGGCCGCCAGGCCGCCTCTCCCTGGTCTGTTCTCTGGAGCACTCTCCCCATCCGCAGTGGGATTTGGTGCGCTCCTCTGCTTTGTCTCCTCTGTCTCCCACCACTGGAACGGAAGCTCCAGGAGGATGGGATTTGCTTGGGTTTTTGCTGTATCCCAGTGAACTGAACGGGCTGCTCCCAGTTAGAATCACAGCCAGGGCCCACGCCGCTGAGTGCACAGTGAGGAGCCAGGCCGGACAGGCCCCAGGTGCCCCACCCACCCCTGGCTGGTGGGAACCCCAGCTCCATGCTGCTGCTGCTGCTGCTGCTGCTGTTTCTGGGGCAGGGCTGGCTTCATGTGACCCACTGCCTTGTTCTGAGAAGCAGTGGGCAGGGTGGCCGTTGCTCAGAAAGCCACGCTTTGGCTTTTGCTGTTCACCAAAGTGAGACCAGACCAGACTTGTCTCTGCCCTTAATGTTGGTTCCTTCATTTCACTGGATCCAGAGGGGCTTTGAGTGTATTGGGTGGTGGCGGTGGTCACCCCTCTGATCTTCTGTCTTGGGCATCTCAGTAGGAAGTCAGGGGACTGCAGGGCTGAGCTCGGTTCTGATTGACGTTGTGACTGCGCGGCCTTCTCTTGGCCTTGTGCCCCAGTGGCCTGCGGCCTGCGATTCGGTCTGACTCTGCTGTGAAACCCTGTTCTAAAAGCTGACTTGGCACTCCACTGGCAAAACCCCGACTGCTGCTTTAAAGCAGAGCATCAGTGTAAAAAAAGGGAAATCATGAACTAGGTGAAAAAACACATTTTTTTCATATTCTTCTCAAAATGAGAGGGAAGCAGAAGTCTGTGGCTATGGGTAGGGACTCTGCATCTGTGAACAGAGGCCACTGCCCCCGAGCGGGTGGAAGGGAGGCGCAGTTCTGAATGCCTTTGGCCCACTCACAAGGAAGGTGGCACGCACGCCGGACCCTCTCTGGCCTTCTGTTAACCTGCACCAAGTCCTGACTGTCCGCGGAGCTGCTGCGCCCACCTTGATGGCTGCTACGTTACACCAGAGGCGGGACCAGGACCCGATTCCTCCAGGCGCTACCGCCCATCAGTGCCTGCTGCCTGCTCAGTAAATGGTCACCATGGAAATGGCACTCAGGCCTGCCCACCCCCACCACCACGCCTCAGTCATTATTCCTTCCATTATTCCTTCCATTATTCCTTGAGTGCTGCCCAGCGAGACAAAGTACAGGCTCCAGTGGGAAGGCCACCATGTCAGCCACGGCCCTTCCCGAGGGAGCTGCCCGCATGCTTACTTAGTGTCACCGTCCACTCCTTGGCACTGACTCGGGTGGAGGCAAAGCATGACTAATTGTAAGTCACCCCTGCCTTCTCCCAAGTGCCATATGGTTGGTTGACTCAGTGTGCGCCTGGGGCGTCTGCAGTCCTTAGAATCGCAAAGGTTGCCATTTCTGTGCATTTCATGCAGAGCAATTAAATAGAGCGCTGCATTTTTTCAAGTTAATTTTTATTTATTAAAGTAAAACATAATGTACCTTCGAAGCCAGGCAGTCCTACAAACTTATTATGTTGTACAGTGGCGTTCCATCCCCCCCCCTCAGCCCTCTTTGTCTAGAAGCAGCAATTTCAGCTGCCTCTCTCTGCTTACCTGTGTATGTTCATGTTTCTTGGTTCATCATCTTAACATCTCAGCTGTGCTCCTCTTACGGAAGAGGGGACCTGGCTCCCTCCCACCCCGACATTGCCCACCCTCCTCCCCCTCAGTTATACTGGCCACACTCCTGCCCTTCACTTTGCAGCCAAGAAAGAAACTTTAATTATGCACCCTCAATAGAAACATCTTGTTTTTTCCCGGGTGAGTAAACACATCTCATCTCTTCCTCTTTTCTACATTTCCGACAAAGTTCTTCCTTCCCTGCACTGTGGTCGGCATCCTGCCCCGCCCCACCCCTTTCTTCACACCATCAGCCTCACGCCGCCCGCTGCGCAGCTTTACCACGGTGCTGGGAGTCCCCCTCCTCTCTTGCCCTCAACACAGCCCTAGCAGTCTAGACCCCTGTTTACCACTCCTGTGGTGGAAACTGTCTCTTAGCTTCCTGAGTTAGGGGAGGTGCATTCTGCAAGCTTACAAGTGCACAGTGGTGTCTGGATTCTGCTCTCGCCTGAGGCATGCGGACGTGGAAACACCTTCTCTTCAGAACCCCTGTCTTCCAGCCCCCATTATTCTGACCCCAGCCCTTGCTTTCTGACCTTCTCTTTTTTCTCTTAGAAATCTCCAGGTTCCCTTCCTTACCCCTGGAGTCTTTCTTCATCCACCGTCCTGGGCACCTGGTGGCCCCTTCAGTCTGGAAACACCTGCCCTTCGCTTTAGGGGAATTGGGCCCCTATTCATTTGATAAGTTTTCCTACCATTTTCTGAGTTGTTTTTTCGTTCTGGAAAACATATGTAGATGTAGGCTTTTCTGGATTAATCCTTCAACTTTCCTTTCGTTCTTTCCCTTCCTGCCCATCTCCCTGTTCTCTACTTTCTCAAGGAGATTCTTGACTGTATTTTCCACCTTTGTATCGAACATTTTACTTTTCCTGCCATATTTTCAGTGTTCACTGATGTTTCTCTGCCCTTTCAGGGTATCCTGTTCTATTTCTTGTTAGATTGAATCATGTGAAATTGATGACAGGTTTTCAGCCACAAAAAAAAATGGGAGTGTCATGAGGTTCAACTTGGTCTTCTGTTGGCTCTCTGGGGGTGCTGTGAGCTCCTGGGAATATTCTCCTCCAGGATCTCTCCTACCAGTCTGCTTGCTTTCGTGTTGGGGTATTCCCGAGACACAGGGCAGACCTTGGTTGCCCCTTCATCACTTCCCAGGGAAGAAGGGGTCCTGCATAGTGGTTTGAAGTCTTTCTGTGGGAACAGTGTGCTGGCTGCTGGTCTCCAGGCAGAGGGACCCTGTGGAACCTGGAGGAGGTGACTCCTTCAGTGCCCAGGAGAGCCTGGGTCCAGCTGCCAACATCCTTGCCGTGGCGTGGGACCATGGGTGGCTGCTTAGTGGAAGCTGGTGTCTTTCCCCAGATCCCCTGTTGCCTGTTAGGTGGCATCCCTGTCCTGAGCTGGGCTTAGTGCCCCCACAGGTTAAGCTGCGCTCTCCTGCACGGGGGCATCAGGAGTCTCTATCAGCGAGGATGAGAAGAGAGACCTGGGATCCGAGGTGTGGCAGAGGGAATGTAGCTAACAGTTTGTGATAAAAGACTCAACCCATGCTCCCTTTTTCTCTTGCTGACCCCCCTTCCTTGCCCTCCCCTCCCCTGTCTCGTGTGCTCCGCTGGGCCTGACTCTGCTCCAGGTGTCCCTGTGCCATCTCCGTCTGAGGGTGCTCAGTGCAGCAGGGAACACTGGAGGCTGTGTTAGCTGTCAGCCCTTCTACATCTGTCTTCCAAAACCACGTGCCCTTCGGTGGGAGGATTTATCATTTTTAAAAGTCAGTGATGGTGCAGTTCGTGTTGCTTGAGAGGTGTGGAGATAACACATGAGTAGCCGACCATGTTTACCTGGAAGTTCTGAGAATTTAAAAAAAAAAAAAAAATTGCTCCTGGGATTATAAAATAGTAAGTGCACTTTGTGAACACTTGAAAAAAACGAGTGTCTAGGGCATGAAATACCCTAGTTATCTTTTCTCTCAGAGATTGAATGTCAGTTCATAGCTTGGTGGAAATTCTTCATGCTTTTTCCCAAGCGTCTACCAAAACAGGCCATCCTACATGTTATCAGGATTCATTTCAGTCCCTCTTGGTAAAATGCACCAGCTGCTATAGAACACATTCTTAAACGGCAGCCCCTGGGCATTTAGGGGGATACTTTATTTTGTTTTCATCATTTAAAAAAACATTTTGACATAATTTCAGACTTTGAGAAAGTTGCAGAAATAGTACAAAGAATTCAGACATTTTAGTACATGTGGTTCATCATGCACCCCTCATGTATGTTTACACACATATATATGCACATACATACATAATTTTTCTGAACCACTTGAGTAAAATGCACACATGTTGCCCCTTTACGCGTAACTATTCAGCATGTACTTCCTAAAAGCAAGGAATTCCATGACAGACCACAGTGCAATGGTCAGAATTAGAAAGTGAGCATTGAAGAGTATTAGTATCTACAAATCTTATTCCAATTTTACCCAGTTACATTTTTATAGCATAAGAATATCTAAGATTGTGCATTGAATTCAGATTTCCTTACAGTGTATTCAGGAACATCACAGGAGTGTTGGATGAAAAGAACGAACATTACAAGGCCAACACACATTTTTAGGATGGTTCTGGGAAGAGGCTGTGCCAGCTTTGCCTTCTCAGTAGTAAGGCGTACCGGTGGACTATCCTTATCTGAAGTGCTTGGGACCAGAAGTGGTTACGTCTTTTTATTTTTTCAGATTGTGGAATATTTGCATTATACTGGTTGAACATCTCAAATCCCAATTCTGAAATGCCCCAGTGAGCATTTCCTTTGAGTGTCAGCACTCAAAAAGTTAAGAATTCTGGAGCATTTGGGATTTCAGGTTTTCAGATTTGGAAAGCTCAACCTATACTAGACCTTTTACCTGCTCCCAGTCTGATAGGCCAGGATGAGGTAGTGTAGTTCCGTATGTGTTCCTTTCATTGTGAGTGAGGTGTTGAGCCCCATTCTGTGTGACTGCTGGTCATGTGCTGGGATTTTCTCTAAACAGCACCATGTGTGTCCATTTGCCCGATTTCAGGAGCAGCCCTGGGCCCCCTGCTGGCTGGGCTCCTCTCCCCGTCCGGCTGGAGCAATGTGTTTTACATGCTGATGTTTGCAGATGCCTGTGCCTTACTGGTAAGTCGGCCTATTTTTAGTCCAATCCACCTTGAATGCGGATCTCTGTGGTTGTGGCCAAACACTGGTGGAACTTTCTCCCGTGCATTCCTGAGTTATCAGACAGATTTGGGTCTTCCCATCTTTTCTAAATATGCATAGTCTAAAGCCCCTTCTCTCTCTGGTTAGAAAAAATCAGAAACAGAAGCAGGACAGTCTTTGGTCTGCAGTCTTGGGCAGGATGGCACAGAGGCCAGGAGCATGGAGCTCCATGGCTCTGGATCCTGCCCGTCATTGTCACGTGTGTGCCTTGGGCGGGTTTCGTAACCTCTGCTCCACAGCTTTAAAATGGGCATGATAATGGCGCCCAGTGACAAGACTGCTGTGGGAATTAAAGCAGATGATACACAGAGCCCGGCCTCCCACTGGTCATCAGTGTCCTGGTGTCCCTCCTGCAGCCATGCTTGTCAGATGGGGCGGGAGCAGCCCCAACTTCTTTCACCTGAAGGGATGGGAGAGAATAAAGGGGCGAAGAGGCTGTCAATGCAGACACACCAAGTCGCCTTCTGGCTTCTGCCCCCTTTTCTCTGGGCTCCTGCTTCTGTGCCCTCCTGTGTTGAGAAAGCTTGAGGTTTTCCTCTGGGTAGGGAAGACCAGTGATGATGTCACAGTCACACAGATGTGCACTTGTGAGGGGCACATACACTTATCTTTACAAGTCACCTGGCCACAAAGTCCCCAGACCCACAGTCATGCCTCTCCTCTTGCTTCACCAGACAAAACCTTAGGCTGATCCCAATAAAAATGAGTTGAGAATTTTAGAAATATCAACTCACTCAACTAAATGAAAGTCTTATATCTTAATTCCAGGAAATTATAAAACTCAACTTCCCCACCACATACAAAATCAAATACCAATTCTCAACCTATGAATTTACTAGGTTTAAATGGCTGTTCTTTGGATCATCTGTGGGTTTTCTCAATGCCTAAACGTTCTAGTGAAGCCTCCAGATGTATTTCCACTAAGTAGCAGTAAAATTCCTGTCATTACAACTGTTCAGAGAATCTGAAATATCTTCTTCAGAAATATTCAGTAACATATATTGAAAATTGTTTTGATGCATAGCCACAAACTCATAAGAAAGTAAAGGAATTCCCCAGGAGCCAGAATTGTAAAGGCAATATAAATACACAAGCTCAGGAGTCAAGGGGTTGGGGTGGTTGTGCCCACACTGGGTAAGAGACAAGGTGTTAGGCTGGCACAAGACGAGGATTTGGAACTGGAGACTTCCTCATAGAGCCAGGACCCTCGAAGAACCATGCTTGCAGTGAAAGAGTGTATTAGATGATATCTGCACACTGGCACAGGAAGACAATGGGAATCTGCCCATCTTAGCCAGATTAAGGGAAAAAATATCCCTTGAAAATTTTTAGCCATAGACCTCCCCACAGTCAGCTGTCAGCTTTAATCTTTGAGCTCATATAAATATGTTTAAAATGAACAAAGTTGGTCCTTAGGTAGTGATAATGCAGAAGCAAATAGGGACAAATCTCAACCCTGCAGCACAGGATTTCTGTAGCTAACCTACTTAGGTTTCTTCACCCTACTAAAGATGAGCTCACAATACAAAATTATGAAACATAAGCAATCTACTTTGAATGACAGTAACAGACATAAAAAATGGTGGAATTGGACTCCCCCAAAACTGCAGATAAAAGAGTTATATAAACTAAAAATAAATATATGCAATGTTACTAATGATGTAAAGAAAAGGAACTGACCTCATGAAAGAAAGAATAAGACACTATCAAAAAGACAGAGCAGGCTTCAAAAACAACCAAACAGGAGTTATAGAAATAAAAAATGTGATCTTTAGCCTGAAAAAAAAAACTCAATGGATGGGTTAGAAAAGTAAATTAGATACAGCTGAAGAGATTACTGAAATGAAATATAGACATGAAGAAATTATCCAGAATTCAGCACAAAAAGAGAGATGGAAAATATTAAAGAGAAATGAAATATAAAATGGAGGACCAAATGAGATGGCCTAATATCTGAAAGTAATTCCAGAGGAAGATAATAGACTGGGTTTGAAGCAATATTTTAAGAGAAAATAGCTGAGAATTTTCCAGATACATGAAAGACAAACATTCTTAGATTCAGGAATCAAACGACTTAGAATTCTGTACCTAGATAAACTTGCATGCAAGAGTAAGGGTGAAGTGAAAACATTTTTAACCAAAGATGCTCCCAGCAAAAATTGCTAAACAGTGTATTTAAAGAAGGAAGATAGATCCAGAAGGAAAGTCTGAGATGCAAGGAGAAATGCAAGCAAAAAAGCAATATTCCTAAGGATGAATCTAAGTATTGACCATATAAAATAGGGGCCAGCTAACTGTGGCCTATTTTTGTATGATCCTCCAGCTGGGAATGGTTTATATTTTTAAAGATTTCTTTTAAAAAATCAACAAAAGAATACGCAACAGAGACCATATGGCTGCAAAGCCTGAAATATTTACTATCTAGACCTTTACAGAAGAAGCTTTCTGATTCTTAGTTTAAAACAACAGCAATGACGACTAATTTGGGCAATATAAAAAAAGAACTGAAATACTGAAAATGTAAAGTACAAGCGGGACAATCAGAGTTCCAGCACACCGCAGTTCTTATATTGTCAAGTCAATAGCAATAGAATGTGTAACCTTCAAGGCAATACAGGGAAATGAAGATTTATCCAAGAGAACCTAGGGTCAGGGGAAGCATAGAAAAAGCAGGGTAAATACAGAAATACATAGCAACATGGATGAAAATGATCCCAGCATACCAGCAACACAGTAACTATAAATGGACTAAACTCATCAGTTAGAAGCAGAGACTGTCAAGTTGCTTTTAAAAATACAGGCACTGGTTATTCACAAGAAACACACCTGCTACACTGGAATTCCGAAAAGACGAAAGTAAAAGAATGGGAAAGTACACAACAGGTAAATAATAACCAGAGGAGGGTGGATTTGTTGCACTGGAAGAAAGAGACCTAAAGCAGAAGCACCTGGGAGATGGGGTCTTGTAGTGGAGAAGAAACTGAACCAGGATGTGCAGCAGGCCGGTGAGCTTGAGTTGAGCCTTTCAAACCTAAGAAATAGACATACCTTTTTCTCTTCCCTGATCAACATGCTTTCTGGTATCTTTTCACCAAAATAGACAAGTGTTTCCTCCCAAGTCTGAGGCTGAGAACCTCCATGATCTGAGCAGGTGTCCTGGGGGGCCAGAGGACACCATGCTTCCTGCCTTACCGCGCACACTGATGGCCAGCTCCAGGGCCTGCAGGACTGCCTGGGCACACAGCCAAAGTCCTCAGGTCTCCAGTACGCACTGGGCTCCTGAAGTTGGCAGGGCCCCTCCTTGTTGGTCATTCTTGCATGCGTGAGCCAAGCACACGGCATGTTTTGAAATCGGATCTCTGTTCTTCAGAGCTGTCACTATTTACAGTTCATCCCATACCTACAGATAACACTTGCTACTACATTCTTCATCTTTTTTTTCTCTGTCTTAATGATCAGCTTTTCATAATCATAGGTCTCTTCGGGCTAGCACTTTTCACACATCACACTTGGTAGGATGTAGGTGTGGGTAAGGTACCAGCTCAAACACAACAAGCCTGTGCCAGTAATTGCAGCTAGCGGTTCAGATACACACAGATGGATTTATTTAACAATAACCTTGCTCTTGCCACCAGCACTATTGTTAGTACCTGCCGTGTTCCCACGACTTTTACCAACTAATTATCGCAAACACCTTTCATGTACCAAGCAGAGCAGCTGGATGCATCTTATCTGTAGAAGGGGCTCCTGTTCTCTCCAGCTTGAACTCACCTCATACGAGGGACTTCTAAGTTCCTACTCAAACCATAAGCATCTAAGAAAATAGAAGAGTTTCTGCCTTCTAGAGCTGTGGCCTGAGGCTTGGGGGTGGGGCCGTGGGTTTGGTTTTTAAGCAGCCCCTGGAGACCGTCCTCCAGCACCCCTTCCCCGCCTCCCCTGGCCCAATGATCCACCCTGGGTCTGAGGGCATCTGTGGCCCTCTAAGAGTGAGGGGCCACGTCCAGGGAGAGCCCTCCTGTGGGCTGATATCACACTGGGAGGGAGACTGGATCCACACTGGAAAATGCAGACACACTAGTTAAATTGGGGATAGCACAGTCATTTGTCTGGATTTGGAAGCTGATGTTGAGCCCTCGAACATGTGAAAGGCACAGAGTTAAAGCCCTGGGTCTGGAGAGGAGCTCAGGCTGAGGCAGGGATATTGGTGGAACAGCCCTGACCCCCAGCCAGGCCTGGCCTCCGACGGGCTCCCAGTGGGGTGCAGCTGTCCTGTGGCAGCCTCTTCAGACCCCAGGACTGGCGTCGGAGGAGATGCTCACCTGGCTTTAGAGTCACCTGAGAAACTCGCAAGTCCACCCCCGGGCCACCAGCATTGTGGTTCTCTTATCTTTCTTTTTCCCACTGTGGACATTTTATGATTGGACTGATTTTATTCTAAACATGACTTGACCCCAGAACTGGTTCAGGCTGCATCTTTCCCAAAAGCCTTGTTTTCAGGGCACCTCCTGGTTCTTCGTGGGTCCTCATCAGACAGCCCTGCCCACAGGAACCAAGGCCTCGGGCTGAGTATGCAGGCCCCACTGCTCTTGCAGGGAGGTGACCCCAGGGAAGGTGCTGTGGGGAGAGAACCACCCGCCTGAGTCTTGCGGGCTAGGTCCTCACGGTGCCCACAGCGCGGGCTGCCCTGTGCCTGCCCCAGTGACGGGTGGGCTCACCTTTGTTTTGGTGCAGTTCCTGATCCGCCTCATACACAAGGAGCTGAGCTGCCCAGGGTCAGCGACGGGGGACCAAGTTCCGTAAGTCCCAGCTCGGGCCCTGTCCCCGTGCGTGAAAGCCAGCTCCAAGGCGCCTTCTGTCCTGTCTGCCTTCCGCACCTGGCTTTTCCTAAAAGAAAGAAAACACATGGCTAATCTTTGCACGGCATGCCACCTTCACTCTTGCTTTTTTTCTAATAAATACCTCTGTTTGGATGGGTTGGTGGTAATCTCTCCTCAAAACCTGGGTGGAAAATGAGAGGGAACTGCCGTCTTTGGCATTCTGTTGGAGGTGCAGCCCCCCGAGCTCTCCTTGCCTTCCTGCTCTCCCCCTTCTCCCTCCTCTTTTCCCTCCCTCCCTCCCTCCCTTCCTTCTCTCTCCTTCCTGGCCCCCAGGAGGTTATGGGAAAGGTGCAAGGGTTTATCTAGCATCCAGTGCCCCATAGGAGACAAATCCCTGCTGGGCCTGGAGGGCAACCGGCTCCCCAGGGGATTTGCGTGTGGTGTGTGAGGTTCAGCATCTCTTGCTGAGCCACTGCTGGCTGTTAGAGCAGGTGTTCTTTCATCCTTTCTTTCAGATTTAAGGAACAGTGACGCCCCACCCCCGGTCCCGTGGAGGGGGTCTGGGCCCACCCTTCACAACTGCCTTTCAAGGACAGTTTAGATAAAGGGCCCTGCACAGAAAGAGTGACTTCCCTTTGCCTTTTGCACACGCACCTGGAAAAGACACAGAAGCCAACCTGAGAACTCCTGGTGCTATTTTAAACGAGACGTAGAGCTGAACAGCATTGAGAAGAGTCTGCGGGAACTGCTGCCTGAGCCGAGCCAGAGAACCGAAGACCCGGCCAACCCTGGCCTTGAAGGCGTGTGCCCATGCAACCACCTAAATGCACACGTGACAGCCAGGCCGGGTGGGTGTGGGGTGCACAGGCAGCCTCGACCCTCTCAGGCGTGTCAGCCACAGAACATCAAAGTGAGCGAGTGCCACGCTGGCTGTGGCTTCAGAGAACCTGAATGTGCCATGTGGAAAAACAGGACACCAGAGCCCACCAGACAGCGCCGGCCAGCAGAGAAGTAGAGAGCTGGCGCCACATGACAGCAGGAAGGCCGACAACCTGATCGGAAACCAAGACGGAGCTCAGACCTACATCACCCCAGAGGCTTTTCTAGCACCCCTGATGTTCCGGACTGACCTGAAAACTAATTGTTGAGAAGCCAAGGGTGAGGAGGCAGGAAGCACCTCCACTTGGAGGCACCCAGGCGTGCCAGCCACAGAGTGCCCCGAAGTCACCGTCATCCCAGCCCCTGGCATTCCTGCTGCCCTCCGAGGCCTCGGTGCTGCTGTTCAGCTCGGGGCACAGGGGCATGGCAGAGGCTTGGGAAGCGGCCTCCCCACCGGCACTGGGATTGGCAGGTCCAAGCCCAGCAACTGGCTTCACTCCACGACACACCACACCTGGGACTGTTTTTAATACATAGCAACAGAGTGGGTTATTTATTTAAGATGTGTATTGTGTCATATGAAGTTTAAGAAACATAAATGGCATTTTGTTATTTATTAAGACAAACTCCAATTGTTCTCTGGCCGTTTTTTTCAGTCGTGTCTAGCAAAATACTTATCTGCCCTTTGAAATAAAATGTTTTTGTTAAAAAAATCTCAGAACACTCAGAGAATGTTGATTTCTGCTCACATTTCCATTACGCTGCAAAAGGGAATTTCCAAATCGTGTTGTGTGTTTTGGGTTTTCTCAGGTTTGGACATTCAGGATTTTGCGACTGAAAATCCATTTCCAGCAGGAAAGGGGCTACCTCTGGGGCCCTTGTTTGCACAGAAGGCCAAGCTGAGGCCCCAGTAAGCAGCCATCTGGATGTTTTCTAAATCACACAGTTTAAAGAATATCCTAGGATTTGTCCTTGACTAGGAGGTGTCACACCCAGTGGCGGTGGGGAAAGATGCTGCACTTGGGAACTGCATGGTGGGGTCCAGGCTTTCAAACGCCCTTCTTAGAACCCTGGCCGTCCAGATGTGCATGGTGCGGGCTTTCCCCGAATGGAGTGCTGTGGGAGTTCATTTGGGGACCCCTCACAGCAGCAGGGCAAAGGTCAGAAACCACACACTGGGTGTCCCGCGGTTCTCAGGGGCCTCCTGCCCAAGCTCTGCAGAGAAGCCCATAGGAGCAGCAGACCTGGCTGTGGGGGCTTCTGCGTGCCACTGTCCCACCTGATTGGCTCACTCTTTTTAATGGCAAGTTATTTATACATTTAAAAACTTTCTGCTAAAAAAGAAATTCTCTAAACACCAAATGGATGGAGTGTGTTTCCCACACACGCAGTGCGCTGGCCTTTCCCGGCCCCCTAGTGCTTCCCCCTGCCTGGACACAGGTTCCTAGGAGCCTCCCGCTTTCCCTCTCTCCCTGACCTGGCTCCAGGCACCAGTCCAGCCCTCTCCCGCTGGTGTCACAGTGGCCTGGGCCGCCCTGAGCCCCTGCCGGCTGCCATCCCTGAGGGCGGGCACCAGCCCCGTGCTTGCCACAGGGCACCTCTTCCCTCAGGGTATGCCATCCTAGTATCCATGGGCTGAACAAGCGAGGGACGAGGCAGATAGCACAGTATCATTACAGAATGCACAGAGGGCTTTTTCCATAAACAAAATGCTTTGCATTCACTGCCCCCTGCCTCCCCAGAACTGTGCCCTCTGAGGCCTCATCTAGTCAGAGGCCCAGGGCGGGTGGGCCGGAGCAGACCCTCCTCACCCCATAGCCACCAGCCAGTGTTCAGCACAAAAGCCTTGAGGTGGCCATCGCTGTTTCCCCATCTCAATGAACTAAAGTACTGGAAGAAAATCTCCCACAACTCACAAAGGAAAAGCAATTTCCCATTTCTGAACCCTCTAAACTAAACCCCATGAATGCCTTTGGAAATGGAGAGTCGATCCTTTTTTTAAAATGAAGAGTATACACACAGCTATTTATTTAAAGCAATT